TACAAGTCTTTTTGTTAAGTTTATTTTCTAAGGATTATTGTAAATATGTTAGGAAAATTTATTCATGGAATTTATTACAAACGTGACAAAGCTTGGCAAGCTTTACAAACGGATAATTTATAAAAGATAAGTTCTTAATTTATGAAAAGATTTTTACAAGATTTTATCTTATGAAATCCGGTTTTATAAAATGATATTCTTTTCATAAATTATATCTTTATAATTTTTCTAATTAGATTTTCTTCTAAAAAGATTTACTTAAATGTGTAATTATAAAAACGACAATTTATGATTTCTATCTTTTGAAAACCCTACTTTACATACGAGTACAACTTTTATATATTGTAGAATACAATATTTGCACAACTTTGTGAGTTTATGCATGAAGAATCTGAAGAGAGCTCAAAGTGTGAGTTTGTCAATTAACTCTGTCATATTAGTTTCCAATTTCATGTGTAGCTTTCCAATCACATATTAGAGTCAAAAGTCTTCATTGTTTTGGTATTGGGTGAAGTGCTAAGTGTATTGCATACATATTGTAGGATTCAAGATTAAAGCTGAATGTGAGAGCATTCAGGGAGTGTCGAGTGAATCTAAGTCAGAGACTTAGGTTGGGTAGAATAGGGTTCTACTGTGTAGCAAGTGTTAAGATATATATGTATATATTGTGATTAGTCAAAGTGTATACTTTAGTAGCCTAGTTTATTGATATCTCTTGTAAGCTTTATATAATGCTACAAGTAATGAATATAATCACGGAATATAATTCCTTCATGGTATCAGAGGTCTAAGGCAATTTCCGCTGCACCCTAGTGCTGTTCCGCCATCCTTTCTCTTCTTCTTCTTCTTCTTCTTCTTCTTCTTCTTCTTCTTCTTCTTCTTCTTCTTCTTCTTCTTCTCTATTTGTACAGTAACAATATCGGACTCCAAGAATTCGTTTCAGATTGAAACTTAAGAGTAAAGGTCTGATTATAATAGGTTGTAACTAGGAGATTTTGCCCTATTATAGTGGATTAGTTTGGTTTGAAATCCTTTGGAGGGTCGAGGTTTTACTTCCAATTGGGCCCTAGAAGGTTTCCTCGTAAAATTTTGTCTGCTTTACCAAGTTCCTTTTATATTCTGTTTTATTTCCATAAAATTAGTCACTAGAAACTCACATACAATTTACCCCGCCTCTTATAGTGTTCGTCTCAACTATTAGGAATTTTGTTATTGCAAATGTAGTTCGTTGAAAACTAAGTTTCATCCTATCATTGGACATGTCGTTTTTGGCCTCTAGCTAGCATTAGCAATAAGCCAACATTCTTATCTACTTGGATGACCACTGGCGGATACTTTGTAGCTCGAGGGGCACGTGCTAACCCTTTATTTTTTTTTAATTCTTTTTGATAAATAAATATCTAAAAATCTGTTTACATAAAATAAATTATGAAATACTCGGTACTGTGTATATGGTTTAAACGTTACACAATTTGGAATACAACTAGCCGCATACCTGCTATTTATTTGGGATGTATATAGGAGAGTTAATTGGTAAATTTACATAATTTTTGCGATTTTTTATCGTTACAGTAGTACTTTTAATATAGTATTATATTTATAGTGGTATTTTAATGTATTATTATACATGTATTTTATACAACTAGAGTATAGTTTGTTTTAGAAGTACTATTCATAGCTATTATAGGTAACAATGGTACAATATTTGATGACAATTTATATACTTATTTCTACCACTAGAAAAAAAAAAAATCACTACTCTTTTATCTGGTAGCTGCTATTTACTTGCCATGTAAATAGCAGCTATGCGCCAATATTTAACCCACAATTTGTACAACAAGTGAAGCTAATTTAGTGGTAACAAAGCAGGTGTATTAAATTTCCCTTTGTGCTGCGGGATTAGAGGTTCGAATCTCCTCACCTTCTTGATATTATTTATGTTTAAATGGATATATGTACGCAAATTCTAGGAAAGAATAATGTTGAAATTAATAAATTATTAGATTCAACCTAAGAAAAGAAATAAATACGCGTACTTTGATGACCTTTTCTAGTGACAAGTGATCAAAAATTGAAACTAAACCCCTCATATGTATTAAAATGAAAGATCATCTTCATTTAAATTTCTATTGAATGAAATCAAATACGTTTATCATCTTCAGCTAGCAAATGAGTAAATGATCAATTTAAATTAACTCACACTTACAAGCATCTCTTAAAACTAGAATTTTGTTCATGACCCTCCTAAACATGTCCAAAAATTCAACCCAGGCCAAGCAAGTAACTATTCCACCTTCCAACAAATATTTCGCATTAATTAATAAAAAAAAAGAGCAAAATCCACGAAAAATTTACTTTGTTCATTTAATTAAAGTGAGTACAATTTACTACTTCTATTTCGTAATATTACAGTCATGTGGAGTCTTGTTATATTCATTAATGTCTATTTTTATAATTTTACATTTTCATTATTTTTCTACACAGATATTTACATTTTAATATGTGTATTAATATTTGTAAAAAAGAAATGGAGCTAACAAATACGAGTAATAAGTAGTAAAAGACATTATTTTATTAAAATTGTAGTTATGATAGAGGATAGAAGCAATTTTTTCTTTCAAATTTGAGAAATAATGAGCCCAAACTATTTGATAGTGGAAAGAAATATACCAAAATAATAGCAAGACCTTACCTATTAAGGAAGACCAAAAATACTTATCTAGAAAAAGTGAAAAACGAAAGGGTAAAAGTAAGTTGTGTCCGATCAAGGGCTTATTTTAATTTAATTTCTATTAAGGTAAAAGGTAGGGACCTATTAAATAAAATCTCTAACAGGTCAACTCAATTCAAAATAACAGGTTAGGTCCTTGGGATTGAGGATGAAGGGTATAGGAATCTCCTCTTTAATGTACCTTTTATGGAATTGATCTTTGATCCCACAATGCAATATGATGGTTGTGAAATGTAAACTTTCCCATTAAATCAAACCTTGTTTGATAGGATTGAAGGATTATTGAATAGTAAAATTATAAATATTTTTTAAAATCGTAAAATTATAAACATAAAAAAGCTAGTGTAATGATTTAGTGAAAATAGATGGAGTAAGTAACATTTTAAATTTTTCTAGTTATAGTCGTTGGAGCCTCTTATAAATATCATTTTACATGCTCCTATTTTTTTTTAAACAACTTAGCAACCAAAGCTCAAAAGTTCTTAAGAAAATGACTACCTTTCTCCTACCAGCAATTGCAATAACCGCTCTTCTTTTGCTCCAACTCTTTCCTCTCCCTACTATGGCCGTCTCGTTTTTTTATATCACGGACGAGGATGGTGAACTAATGCTAAACGGCGGAACCTATTACATCATCCCACAGAGAACCTATTCGCTTGGGATTAGCGTTTTTTATCAAATTATTGTCGGAGTATTTTTTTATTACCAAATTATTGTTAGAGGTCTTTTTTATTTACCAATCTGATCAATTGACCGCTAAAATTGGAACAAAAACATGTTTATATATGCTTAAGACATAAAACCATAATTAGCATTTTTATACCATCTTCCTCCGTCTGATAAAAGGCAATCTAAATTTTTAAAAATTAATTTCACCATTTGTTTTGTAAAATAATCTCTTTACATTTTATCCCATAATCTTAGAATAATAGTATCACATAATCTTGAATAATAGAACAAGTTAAAAACTTAAATATTATTGATGATATTAATTGTGTAAGAAAAAATTACCACAAGAAAAGTTGAGCTAAATTCTAAGCTCAAGAATTTTGATTCAAAAATTATCCATTACAATTGAATGTTATGTGAAATTAAGAAATTCCCTCACATAATTTAAGGAATTTACTTATGAAAATGAAACAGTGGTCATCCTTAAAATGAATACCACTATACTTAATTTTTATTGGTCGATTTTTAATTTATGTTTCTATTGGTCAAACTTAATAAAAATGATTTTTCTTTTTTAAAAATTCAATTTTTTTTAGAAATTAATCTTTTTAATATTTGAAAATCTTTTTTCAATTAATTTCCAAAAAAATGAATTTTAAAAAAAGATTAATCATTTTTAGTAAGTTTGACAAGCAAAAAAATAAATTAAAAGTCGACCAATGAATATAAAGTATAGTGATAGTCATTTTAAAGATGACTACCGTAGAAAAAAAAGTATACTTAACATGTTCGATCAACAGTTAAAATTTGAATTTTCATTAATTTTAATAAACAAAGGGATAGCTTGATACTCCGAGTAATTTAATTTAATTCTCATGTTTTATGATATTGAGGTCTCCATGATTTTATACTTTAGCTACTAGTATTTTATAGGTGTCCAACAAAGAAGCACTATTAAATATCTACAATACCATATACGAAGTAGTTTTGATTACTCTCTTCTCTCCTCTCTATTCTAGGGTTTTAAGTATTTTGCTGTTTAGGTTAGAAATAATCTAATTTCTTCGGAAATTAGACTATTTTTGACCCTTTTTGTTTTATTCAATATAGCTTTTTTTTGCCTTGTTTTACGTTTTAGTTTGTTTTGTTCTCTCCATCTGTGAGAGTCTGTCCCAATTTTCTGGGATTTTAATTGTTATTTATTGATGAGAATTTTATTTTTAGGGTTCTTATAATAATTGGGAAGGTGATTTGGATTCCTATGGGTTTAGGGTTTGACATCAACTTTTCGATCAAAACGTCAGCAAAGATTACGACGGTCTCTATTTGGAAATTAAATATGCAAAGACATCGAAAATCATTGCTCGCGTCAAGTTTGAAGCGGTGGAGTATGAGCTATGCTAAATATGCAAATTGGTTATGTTTTTTATTGTAAAAGTTATGGTATTTTCTCTAAATTTGTGTTTTACAGATCTTTGTTATTGTAAATACCAAATGGCTATTATTTAATGATATTATTACTTCCCGTTCAAAAAAAACAGTTCTGATTAAAGTCGTGTGAGTTGGTTTACTTAGATATTTCTATAAATAAGCTCTAGAGCACTAGTTATTTTACTTTATTTTTTTCCTAAAACTTCAGAAGTAAAAAACGATCAAAACCCAAAAAATGGCTAATCTTTTTCCCCAACTTTCAACCACAATCCTCCTAATTTTCTCTTTTTACATCGTTACTTCAACCACAACCGCCAACGACGTCAACTCCCTTGTCCTAGATGTTGAAGGGAACCCACTCGAAGTAGGTTCATCTTACTACGTCCGTACTGCAGTGTCAATATACAGAATAGGGGGTGGCCTAGTCGCGGCATCCAAACCAAACCAAATTGAATGCCCTCAATACGTAGCCCAATTAGCCGAAGGCTGGTACGGCGAAGCCCCAATAACATTCCTACCATCAGACCCATCACAAAAACACGTTCACATTTCCTCAGACCTTAACATAATCTTCAACACCTCATCTAGCGTCTGCTCGCAAGGGGCATGGCAGCTAACCCCCGATGCCAACTCCGGTGAACTCCACTTGTCTACCGGAGGTGTTATTGGAAACCCGAGCCCTCAGACCGCAGCTAATTGGTTCAAGATAGAGAAAAGTATTGCTGGTTCGGAGTTTTACCAGCTCGAATATTGTCCGTCTAGTAGTACGATCAACGGGTTTGCAGCTAAGAAAGATATAGTATGCGGCTTTATCGACGCTATTTTCGGCAGAAATGACTACCGCATGTTGTGGTTAGGTCTAGTTCAAGGAAGGCCAAGTTTCAACACTCTAAGTTTCATTAAAGCTTAAGTGTCGTGTGGTTTTCCTCGCTCCTAAATACATTACTACGCATGTACTCAAGAATAATATAAATAAATAAACAAGGTTGTTCATCTTGAAAATTTCTCTTCATTTGAGTACTTAATTACGAATGTCTTTGGCGGAATCGGAAAAGTTTAATGATGATAGGAAATGTTACGGTAGTTGCAATACACTATAAAAGGAAGGTTTTTATGGTGAAAATTGTTCTATTACCTTTATTTAAAACTCATGACCCTTTTGATTATACTTCTAACAACCTTTTAACCACATTTTAAGTGTACTATATCATGTGAGGTCCACTTTTCTTAAATAATGTGATAAAGTGTGTGTTGCAATTATAAAGAAACAAAGAAAGTACTTATCAGAGTTATCACTAATACATTTTTTATTTTTTAGATTTGGTACGAGAATTTGGATTTACAATTGAGGCGGATAAATTTTTATTTTTCATTTTGCATACCCAACTCAAATTATTTATAATACTTACTAAGTTACTATATACTCACTTTGTCCCTAAATTTTAGCCCTATTGCAATAATACGGGTCAAACTTTAAAATCTTTTACCATTAAATACTCTTTATTTATAAGAGATAATATAGTCAAGTGAGATTTTGTTGGATTCGTCTCATTGTATATATTATTAATATCGAGTTTTTATAATTTTTACACGTATAAAAATGAAGATACAATCGTTTTAAGATGCGTCTTGGAGAACGTGAAAAGTCAAATGGGACAAACTATTAAGGACGGAGGGAGTAGGACTCTAATTTATAAGTTCGCCCTAGGCCGCCAAAATCTCATAAACGGACCTGAATATTTTGTTACAAAAATAACAGTTTAATAATTCTAAAAAATCAGACAGCCACATTAGAAATATGTAATCCCTACCTTTTAAAAAGTTTGAGTTAAATCTTATGAATAAGGTTTGGACAATTATACCCTTTAAAATGATTATTTACTTATTTGCCCTTATTATTGCTAATTGTTTCTTTTTTTGAACTCTTGAAAATAGTATACTTATATTTATACTCTAAAGATATTTGTTTATATAATTTCTCTCATTAATCCTATCTGCTAAATCAAAAGACTCTTCTAACATGACTAGCTATGACGCGCATTGCGCACGTTAGCTACCCTAGTTATAAAAAAAAAAAAAAAAAATAAGCATAACAAATATTCCCTACAATAAATGAAGAACTTTTTGCGAAGTACTTAACTAATTAAAATATATTAAACCTTGAATTTAAAAAGCTACTTCGTAATCCGTAGTAGATACTCATCCAAATAACACCATATCGAATAGTATAATTGATCTTTGAGTAAAAACTAATCCAAAGCATTATAAATTTATAAGTAAGCTGAGCTTTGTAGTCATGTAGAGCCGCTATTTGCAGTCGGCTTACAACAAAATATTGTGAGCATGCTTAGCTTGAATGCGTTGAAAATATAATTATAGAGATCATATTAGAAGTTAATCTAGAAAATTCTAGATATGTAATGAAAAATCTAGTGAGTAGTTTAGAAAAATCTAGAATAAAGTAGAAAAGTCAAGAGAGGTTTGTATCTAGAAGTATCTTGTAAAAATATCAAAGATATTTGATGTCGAAAGATCTAGATACATGTAATATTAGACATGTGTAGAAAATCTAAAGAGTAGGAACAACCACTATAAATATGTTCAATGTGCATGGGTTAAGAGCTGCGCTAATTAAGAGAGGTCCCATTAATATGATGAGGGAAGTACTCACCAAGATAGTGAGAGAGATGAGCTCTCACTAATTAGATATGAGTTGTGTATGTGTGGAGTAAGTCTCCACCAAAAATATTGTTGTACAATTTATGATGAAATTTATGAAATCATAAAATTGCTGTATGATATTCGGATCTGTTAAACTTTCTTGTGCGCCAAAATTCTATCATATCATGCATGCCTAGCATTACTCTTTACTCTTTAGACGCTGCTAACACAAACTAATCACTTAAGATAGAGCAAATTCCTATACATTAGGAGTTAAGTACCCACTAACAATTAAAAGCAGATATTTCATCACACCTCAGTGTAAGAGTAGGTGGAATTGTATTTCATCAAGAATAATTACATGCAGTATATATTACAAGCCTAAGGCACTAATCACCTAAGCTATACAATAAGAGAATCAATCACAAAGTCAAAGATAATATATACTTTACAAATATAAAAGATAGTATACTCTCAATCAAGGAAATGGAGTGATATTAGCTAGCCCGTGATTTAAATATCAAGATATTATTCTCTACACTCAGCTCCTTGCTTCAAATTAGATTACAATGGCTATCTGATCTTCACGATTGACCTTTGATTTTACAACATTTTGTGATGCAAATCTCATCACACACATAATTTTGCTGGTGCATATTATCACCGATGCCTCACTTTCGGAGCACTTCTCTCTGCACAACTGTACTTATTGATGCACATACTTCTTTTTTCGTACTTATTGATAAGTGTTTGAGTAAAATGTCTATTGGTTACTGTACTTGCTGATGCACATACTTCTTTTTTCGTACTTATTGTTAAGTGTTTTAGTAAAATGTCTATTGGTTTTTTCCAAGAATTGTCCGTGCGTGTAAAAGAAGGACGAGTGATTAATTTAAAATTTGGTGGGTACTAAGAAATAATTAGAATGCAATCTCACATAAGTGTACAAACTCACCTTTCACACGACTTACACGTTACACTTAATCCAGTTAAAATCAATCAAGTTTGTACGATTAACGCCAATTAAGTTATTGTTCTACATCTACCACAATTGTGGTACAAAAATTTTCCAGTACATAGGTAAATATATAAATCCCCGTTTTTGTTATTGCAAATGTAGTACAATGAAAACTAAGTTTCATCCTATCACTGTACATGTCGCTACTTATTGGCCTCTAGCTAGGATTAGCAACAAGCCAACAACCTTCTTATCTACTTGGGTGACTATGCAATATGATGCGCAGTCCATATAATGCCACAAACTTTTTTCCCTCTTCTACAAAATACACTACGCTATAATTTTCAATAAAAAATAATAAATGAAAATAAATTTAATATTAATTTATTTTAAGAAAAAATAAATCACAAAATTTAAAGTAAGATGAAGGACCCTAATGAATCTATACCTCTCACAGATGAAGTCAGTCCATCTCCACAAGTCAATGCTTGAGAGTAGAGGAGGGATGTAAGGGAATCTCCCTAACACATGTAGTTGGTGGGGTTCGAACTCGTGACCTAATTTACTTTATTTGGGATCCTTAATAATATAGTCATGTAAAAATGTAAAATCTTATGTATTCAATAAAAAAAATGTCCAATTTTATAATATCACATTTTTGTAATTTTTTTCATAAATAGTAGAATTTGAAATATGTATTGGAAACCATGAAAAGTTAATTGATTAAAACTAACATATACTTCTTCTATTTTTAAATATTTGCAGCACAGCTTTGTGACACGGACTTTGAGATCGAGATTATTTAATGTAAACGATCAAATTAATCAAAATAAAAACTAGACATCTCATACAAAACTAGACATCTCATACAAACGATCAAATTAATCAAAAAATATTAATCGGGGAAAATGAAAAAAGAAAGTTTAACTAAGTTGAGGCCAATCGAGGCAACTTTATTTTTTGGTAGATAAAGAGAAGGTACCTACTGAATGGAACCACACACAAGTACCTTACAAGTTAATCCAACCCAATATAACGGTTTAGGTCTTTGGGAGTGAGGATAAAGGGTAAGGGAATCCCGATCCCCCCAAGCAAAATGTCTCTAGCAGGGTTTGACCTTGGATCCCACAGCCTCGTAATTATGGAAGCAAAATTTCCAATTAGTAGGAATGCGGCAATATTGATTATTAGTTAATTATAATGAACTTAAAGTGATGATAATTTGGGGAAAAAATTGGTCTAACGATTTAATAAGACTAGAGGGAGTAACTAACATAGCATTTTTTATCAAATAATTTTTTCTAGCTTCATTAGATGAAGCCTCTTATAAATACCAACTTCTACTAGTTCCTACTTTTCCAAAATACTTCAAACAACTTAGCAACCAAAGCTCAAAAGTTCTTAAGAAAATGACTTCCTTTCTCCAACTAGCAATTGCAATTCACTAGTAGAAAAAATGAAATAGGCACCGTAAAATACGCACCGGATTTTAAAAATCGGTGCGAAAAAAAATAGGCGGGATTGAAGGGAAGACTTTTCGCACCGCTCTAACCAAACCGGTGCAAAAAAAGAGTTAATCGCACCGGTTTGGTTCGAACCGGTGTGGAAGCTATTTAAAAAAAAAAAACCCGACCATTTTTATCTTCTTTTTTACTCTTTCTGTCTTCTTTCTTTCTCTTTCCTCGATCTCTCATCCTCTCAACATCGGAAACCCTAAATTCCTTCTCTCTCCTTCGATCTCCTTCTCTTTCCTCAAACTGAAAAAAAACCCTAAAGCTCTTTTGCTTTGCAATCAGCCGTTGTCACTCTTATTCCCCACAGAGAGCCTCTCATCTTATTCTAGCCCACCATAGAAGCGTGCACTCTACATTCACCATTGACGTTTCCTCGCGTCCTCTTCCTTAGCCAGTTCGATTCTTCTATAATCGATTATTGAACACTATTGGTTATAATTGAAGCTGATGATGCTAGGTAAGATGTTTCTCTTTGTAATCATCGAAAATCAATTTAAAAGTTTTTTCAGTTTGAATGTTGTAAATGATGATTGTTTGAGTTGATTTAACTCTATTTTTTCAAATTTATGTAGTTTTGAGTTGATTTATGTTTTTGGGTAATGGTTTTTTGGATAGTTTGTGCTGAATTTTTGCGGATTCAGAGATAATTTTTTTTTTCTCGATCTGAAGTTTTCGATTTTATTCTAATTCTAATATCGATTTTCGTTTTAATCCTCAATCATTTTATCCCTTTAATCGTTTTCAGGTTTCGTTTTGTTTTTAATTTTCAATTATATTAGATCTAATTTTTCTAATTTTCATTTGAAAATTAATCTAAAGTTTCTGTTTGGTGCGATTTGTTCTGATTTTGTGCGTTGATGGTGTGGTTGTGGGTGTTTGGTGCGGTTGCTCTGACTTTGTGCGCCGATGGTGG